AAAGAAAAACACTGAAAAAGAGAAAATACTCAAAAACTAGTGTTTAAATCGACCTTTTTGGACTAATAAAAAATAACAGGAATAAAATTTTACACTCAAATTATCACTAAAAGCTCACAACCCTAACACTAACGCTAACCCTAATGTCCTATTCCTAAACTTTCTTAGTTTATTTACAAATATGATTTCCTTTTTTGGTTTGTATTACCGGTGCAAATAAGTAAATTGGTTGTCAGGCAGTGTTTAAAATTCAAAATAAAAGTTACTTGCATATTGTGTATATAATTTTTTTTCAAACAGTGTGCAAATATTTTTATTTTTTCCATTTGTACAAATATAACTTTTATAATTGGAAAGGAAAATCGACAAAATAAAGAAGATCAATTTTTATGTTATAAATTTTATAATAAATCATATGAAGATACCAACTTTAAAGAGCTTTATTTTCATGTTTTAAGTGAAAAATGAACCAATCTTATTCTAAATTGATATATAAAAAATTTTTTTTTTGAAAATTTGTCGATTTCCTTCTTTTCTGCAATTTTTTTCTTGTACATGTGCACAAATTTTTTACAAAATTCTTTCATATTAAAAAAACTCTTGCATATGTGCACTTTGTGACATTTTTTCAACTCTGTTGTCAGGCCAGACTTGGTTTTCAACGCGAATAGTAAGTCTTCACAGTTGCAAGTACCTTGGTTGTGACGTTCAGTACAGACTTCTAGTTGTCAACATTGTTACCATCTAATTGGGAGAGTCAAACTCCATATGCTAAGATAGCTTAGAATGGTGAACAAAATAAGATAGGTGTGTATACTATAATCAGAATAGTAATTACTCATTAAATAAGTATAATCCAATATAAGAATTAAATAAACATGCGAAGCAAAACAATATTATATATAACAATTGAATGTATAATCCAAGGTATACGATATAATTATAAGAATTCACTTAGAAACCTTTATTATAAAGGAGAATCACACTCAGAATTAACCCTGAAGTGCAAGCAAGGCGAATTCAAAGGAATTCCGCAGTTGTTATTGAACGTGTAGAATGAATTCCCTTTTAAAGATTTGGAGGAATAATAAATGATATCATTAAGGTTATTGATAAAACTTCTGCAAAATTCCATCTCTTTAACATTCCCTTACACAACCCTCATTGATTAATGATATGATCAAAATCTTCACATCAATTCTGCAATCTCGCAGTACTTCCCTGACTATAATTAGAAGTACTGTAGAATTAATTAACGTGGAGGTAATTATAGTAATAATATATTATACAAAAGACAATTAAGGAAAGCTATACTATATAATAATGTAAAATAATAAAAGAATAATAAAGAAGAATTAAAAATATATAAATATCGAGGCACAGAAAAAAATTTTTGTTTTTTTTTTTTGAAGATAACAATGTTCAGACTCTTATTCTGGAATTGGCCTTTTTAAATTAATTATTTTTAAGGATAATGATTATTATAGTAAATTAACAGATTATATAGATATCAGTTAATACAGTATATCAGAAAATAGCATTTTATTTATGATTAATAAAATAAATGCTGTTATTAAATAAATTTAGGGTTCAAATTCAGAATATCTAAATAAAGGTCCAATTCCACCAGAATGTGCGGCTCCAATGGCAGTGCAAAGACGTTAGGAGTTTCTAGTGATAAACCTGTCCCAATCCTCATCTTTTAGCTATGTGATTATTTGCCATTTGCAAACGCAGATTTGGCGCTGTCTCCTTCTCTAGTAGCACAATTAGTGGGCTGCTATTTAATGAGGATGTTTGTACTCGAACAAGCCATAGAGGTTGCAAAGTGTTGGGTTTGGCTGGGCCATTGAGGAGGGCTTTAGTAGAACAAATTTTAAACTTGCTTGTAAATATTAGTAGAGCCTGCCAAAAATATCTAGTCTATTCTCTTATGCTTTTCATCATATAGCAGTCTTCGATCAAGCAATAATAATATAAAAAATCCAATTGCAGCAGTAGCATAATACTGCACATTTGATAGTCAAAACAAAAATACTTTTTAATCTTTGTAAGATGATTAACAAATGAAGAATTGATCTACAGGTTAGTGCTCAAGAGTACTACTACAGGTTGATTAGACAACTAAAAAATTGTATTGAAAAATTGTAGTTATTGATAGTATTGATATCATTTATCTATATACATTAACACTGATAAAAGTATCGGACAGTTATCAGATAGAGGTCCTATCCATTAACTGTTTATCTATTTATTTGTTGGATATCTGATTTTTATAGATAAATAGTTAAAATAGATTAATAGATAGATATCTGGTTATTTAATAAATTATCTGAATTGTCTATATAAGAAATGCAGTATTATGTAAAGTATTATTTGAAAACCCTTGCATATTTTTATACACCCCTTGCATAATCCTATATAATTATGCATAAAATATGTATAATTATGCATAATTATACAAGGAGTATATAAAAATATGCAAGGGGTTTCTAAATATATTTATCTATTTGGATATCTGTTTAGATATCTGTTAGATATTTGTTACAGATATATCAGATAATCTGGATAAATTTTTTGGATATCCAATATAATCAGATAGATATCTGGATTTAATAACACAGATAAATAGGTGGCAGATTTATCCAGATAGGACCTCTACAAACGGATATTGTACCATTTCTCATTGATCCAATTTTGTTATAACTACTCTCTATAAAGGTAATTCAATAATGCTAATTGAAAAAATATAAATCACATGTAATGAATATCATCATAGTGCTAAATTTAAAAACCATGGGCCACATGTAATGCTAATTAGGCTATACAAAATTAAATAATTGTTTCTCATAACATAGAATTCTAAAAGTGACCCGCCCACCCGCCTTTTAATTTTTAATCGTAAAAATTTTATAAGTTTTTCATTTTCTAGAAAATATTAAGAACATATGAAAATTTTTATTAAAAACCCACCCGGAAGTATTTATAGTGAATAATTTATAAAATTTGTATTGAAAATTTACAAAAGCTGACCCGGCCGGGTTATGAGAAACAATTAATTAACTTTATATGGCCTTATAACAAAAAAAAAATTAATCGCCAAGCCAAAAAATTAATTGGCTCCAGCCAATTTTTCATCATTGCCAGGTTTAATTACACTTATATCTGATTTAGATTCAAATTCTAACTCCTTGTCTTTAACCAAATTCACCGTAACATTGGCTAAAAAGCATAGTATAGATTTTTTTCTTCTATTCAGAATGCGGAATGATTTTCTAAGCTTTCAATGAATTTGGGACTTCCACCTGCTAGCTGCATTTTTTCGTTCTTATCCAGTTTAAATATGAAGTAATTACTGTCGTCAAAGAACAATAATGTTAATCGAACACTCTTGTTCTCATAGAATTCAAAATTGTATCCAAAAAGTTTGGATAAGGCTTCATTATATTTCTCAGATCTATTTTGCAATGCCTTATAAAATATAGATAAATTTTATAATACAATTAAAAATTAATTATAATCAAATTAAAACACAATATCATACATTAAAATAAGAAATGATATTAACCTCCTTCAATCTTAAAATTCAATTTGTGTTTTTACTTCAAGCAAGTTATTTAAATGTTCAGCATTTTTTAGGCTCTGTATTGGGATTACATCGATATCAATGCCATCAGTATAAATTCTCTCAAGTTTATTATATAATTCCTCCAATTTCAATAAAAGGTCTTTATTTTTAGCCTTTAACCTATTAAGGGTATTTTGCCAAATTGCATAGTCCTTTGCCACTAGATTATCTTTTAGCTCAAGAACCTATACAAGAAGATAATATGTTAAATAATCACTCGCCACTTCAATAATACTACATGTAGATCTTTACCTAAGTCATTGCATGATTAAATTCGCCTCTGCCTACTGCTCTCTCAAGAGTTTCAACTTGTTTCTCCAAATTTTCTTTCTCTTTTTCAAGCTTACTTACAACTATGATTCATTATACAATTATTTTAGATAAACATAAAACATAAAAAAAATAAAAAAACATACTCTTTTGAAAGACTTCATTCTTCTTATCCACCTTCTCAAGAGCTTCAACTTTTCTTTCCAATACTGCTCTTTCTTCATTGAGCTTATTTATAGCTAAAGAGCTATTAGATGAATTAATTAAATAAACATGTAAATAATAAGTTTCTTTTTTAAAAAAATAAAAAAAAGAACCTATATTCTTGAAGAACTTCATTTTTCTTTGTTTCTTCTTCTAAATATAATTCTATTTCGACTAACTTGTGCTCCTTTTCTTTTAATATCCCAACTTTAATAATTATTGATGCCAACTCTTGAATTAAAGAGTCGTAATCGAGGCTATAATTATTGGCTTTTCTATCACTCTCATTGTCTTCAGCTTCAAAATGAGATCTCTAAAAAAAATTATATTTTACATTATTAATTAATTATATAAACTATGTTTGTCATTTGTAAAAATTAAAACAGACCTTTAAAGATCGACTGCTCTTGCCATCCTAGTATAATATTTATTACATATAAAAAACAAGGTACACAATTAATTATTGAGTTTTTTAGTATTTTATTAAAAAATATAGCTACCTCATTGTTATTGCTTTTGTTAAACGGAAAAACTTCTCTTGGCATTTTTTTTAAAAGAAAACAGACAACAATATGAAAAATTGAAATAATAAAAACAATATATTCATCTGATTCATGATTACACAATTTTATTGGTTAATTATACGCGTGGGTATAAATATCAATTGGAGATATTTATATGATTGGCTAATGTAAATCATTTGCCCTAGTAACTTATTTATACAGCTTAAACTACTTTAATGTTTCTAACTTTAAAATAACATCTATATTCACTATACAAAAATTAAGAAACAAGCACTAGCGATAAAGCCCGAAGCATATAAAATTTAAAAGTTTAAAAAAATATAATAAAATATTTAAAAAATTTTTAAAAAGTATCAATTTTATATACTTAGGCTATACAAATTTAATTACTTGGTTGAAACTTTTAAATAGACCCAAGCCGTAGGCTTCTTTTTATAAAATTTAAGCCATGTAAAGTTAATTAATTGGTTCTCATAACCCGACCGGGTCAAATTTTATAAAAAAATTTTTATAAGTTTTAATAACCGAGTAAGTTTTTAAAAAATTTCTAAAAAAATTTTATAAATTGTTATATATAAAATTAAAAAAAAAAAGAGCTGTCTGGTTAAAAAGTTTCATGTTAAAAGAACCAATAAATTAAATTTGTATAGCCTTATATAAAAAAAATTTTTTTAAACCCACTCAGTTATTATCGCTCTTTTCAATTTAGTTTAATCAATGAATTTTGAAGATTTTTCTTTTTGTAATGAATCTGTGAGTATATACCCTGCATATAATAATTGTTTGTAATTGTTAGCTATTTATTATTATAACATAATATATAAACAGCTAACAATTACAAATAATTACTATATGCAGAAATACAGTATGCATATATGAGACTTACAGACAAAAAAAAAATCTGCAAAATTTATCAATCCAACTAAATCGAGAAGAGCGATAAAACATAAGAGAGGGTAGATATTATGACACACTTAAGAGTTGCTTATATAAAAATTTTTAGTATAGCTTATTTATTTACAAAATTTATTGATATAGATTAATTAGCGAATTAACTAAATTAAAACCAAAAAAAATTATATTACCATATACTTCCAAAATTAAGCACCCCTCAGAGCAATGAGCAATTTTTATAGCCAAAATTTTCATGATCTAATAATCGGATCTACATAATTTTGGTACCATTCAAATCAGCTTGCCAAAACAATTCAAATGATACCAAAATTATGCAGATCTGATTATTAGATTATGAGAATTTTGACTATAAAATTGCTTCAAGAAGGTGCTTAATTTCAAAAGTATACGGTATTTAATTCATCTTAGTAAAACAAATCAAACAATATCAAATTTACTCAATTCTGATCAATATATCGCGAAAAAACATGATTGTGTCACAATACCCATCTGCGTCATAATACCCTACCTCCCTTATAAAAAAATTTTTTTAGAAGTTTTCAATTTTGACACAGCTGGGTTATGAAAACCAATTAATTAATTTTGATGGCCTTATACCAGGACTAAATGACATATAGTAAATACTAGCTATTTAATAAGTGTCATTTTTGATTCATATTATATTAAAATTTTATTACTCATAAATTTGATGTATCGAAAATGATACTTTAAACAATAGGTAGTGGTGCAATAAATGGCCGCTGTATACTATATGTCATTTTTAGCTCTGAGTTAATTTCTGATTATTCGCGTTAATATTAATATTGTATAATTGTAATCTTAATTATAAATAATGTTGATTTTTATTGTTACATTTAGTATTCCCTTGAATAATATTCTGCCAAATTAAAATCCCATAATTGTTTAATATCAATTAAGTTTAGCAATTAGTTTTGTCCAAATAAACATAACTGCTATCTGAGAATAGTTCTTTGAATTTTATCCTTTTCCTTGCATGATATTCTCTAAATACAAATCAAATTAGCTAGGGTTTTTGATTTGTATCTGTGTATTTAATGCAATGCTTTATAGTCAGGATTGTGAATAGACAATAGACAAGTCAATAAACAATCTAATAGTCTTATAGTGTCCAATCAAGTCATTAGATAATAGACAAATAGATATATAATTTAAAGAAATCTGATTGGCTAACTTAGATATCATAATCTAGCTAATATAGTAAATTAAATAGATAATAGACAAATAGACAGTAGAACAATAGCCAATAGACAATTAGACAATTAGACTAATATTTTTAACTATGTCTATTCACATCCCTGTTTACAGTAGTTTTTATTAAAAAATAAAAAAATATATATGCTATGCTATATTTAATCATTTATTAACTATATGTCTAGAGATATTAATAGAGTAAGGTACTCCAGAGTAACTGTGGAGTATAACCCACTCTATACCAGTGTGGTCCAGACATGACACCACCTCGGATTACTAAGATATTATTAATAGGAGTAATTGCTCCAGAGTAATACTACTAATACAAAATGGATTATACTCTGAAGTATTATTGTATATATATATATTACTGTATTTCCCCAAAATAAGGTAGTATATTTTCGGGAAAATACGGTACTATAAACTCCAGAGTATTACATAGTGCTTAACACATAGTACTCTGGGTTATACTCTGGATTATACTCTGGGTTACACTTTGGAGTATGCTCTAATTCATACTTCAGTGTGGTGTGGTGTTAAGAGATACTCTGCCAGAGTATGCACCACACCACCCTGGAGCACTCCATTAACATCCCTATACATGTCAAATATTGAATATTTAACAACTAATATTTAACAATAATAAAATTTTGCAAATTTTATAAATAGAATTTGCAAAATGAACTCTTTCCGATTATCACTCATACACAAAAATTTTCACTTTAATTATTTTAACAACACTTTATTGCTTGTTATTTTACTATACAAATATAGTTTTGCCTCTTAAATAAACTTGTTTCTTTTCTCTTTCTACATATAATATCTAAATATTAATGCTAAAACTTGTAAAGTTATCAAGTTAAGGCCTTTTGGCCTACTTTTGTATTTTATTCAAAATACCTACCAAATGGCCTTTTAATATACTGTTTAAGCTTAGAAAAAGTTAAAGAGCTCACTGTTCCTGTTATAACAAGCTATAGCACAAGTTTGTAGCTTTAAAACTGACAGAGCTATGTCCAAATTACTACTCCAACTCTTTACAATTTTCTTTTTTATTTTTTTCTCTTTTTTTTGGCAAAAACCACTTAGATGTTTTCCGTGTTATCTCAACTTGCATTACCACATTTTCAAATACTTTAACATTAGTGGTTCTCTTCATTTATACTAATTTTTAAGTTTTATTACACAAATTAACTATTTATATTTTCATATTCCTTCTATTCTTAATTTAGCAACGTCATCCAAGTTTCACAGAGCATACTTGGGTTATAAGTGAAGTTTGTATAACACGTAATCTGCACACAAAACAAATTTTATACTATTTCGAAGCTCTCCTCACCCTCTATAACAATTTACTACTATTTCTGTTCTACGATATCCAATTTATCTTTATTTAAATACTTAAGTTAAAAACAGCTTAAATGCCTACTCTTAGCACCAAACAACCTGATATCACCAATCTTGATACCTTTCTATCTCAATACCCCAATCGTTTTGGTATTTGGATCTATGAGGATAGACCTAATACTACTAGACCCACAATTAAAAGTGTCACTCCTACTAAATACTCAACTCAGCTACGTAGTATGAGTAAAGCTACTCACTTCTTCCAAGCTTCTCAGACTGCTGCTACTATAACTTGTTTCTGCAAAAAATATCATACCAAATTCATCTCTGCTATTCAATCTACCTCTTCTAAATCATCTAATACTCTTACTCACCCCTCTGCCAATCAATCCCAAAGCCAACATTCACCTTGTAACCCAACTCAATGCTAACACTTTTGTACTATTTGTCAACAGCCTATTCTATATACCTTTACACCAGACCTTGAACTCCATTCACTTGATAAAAATGCTTTATTTTCTAACAACCAAGCATTTTATAAAGCATGTCGGCGCTTTGAATCACCTGTTCCTCCATCTACCCCAATTACTCCTATTTCTACTACTCATTCTAAACCACTCACCTCCTTTAATACTCGGTATCTTGACTTCAATCACCTACTCAAACTAACCCTATCACTTCTCAACTCTCTACAACTCAAACTAACCAACCTTTACAAGCCCCAATTGCCCAAACTTCAGCTATCCAGCCAAACCAACCCAATTCTTCTCAACCTCCTACCCCTCGCTCCTGATCCCTTTCACTTTCTTATCAATCTGATCTATCCCCTAAACCTGGTTTTCTTAGCCGCTTTCTACCCTCTTCTGTGTCTGAATATATCTATAGTTCTTCTACTCAAAAATTTTTACGCCCCTTAACACCTATTAATGACGCTTCCAAACTTGATTCTGTTTCTTATGATACTTCTACTAATCCTTATACTCTGACTACTAACCAAATCCTTCTTCTTTAAATAATCTAGACTTTCTTGATGATGAAGCTTTTAACTTTGTCACAAAAATAATGGATGTCGATATACCTATCAGCCAATCTACCTCCAACCCTCCTCCTACTCAACCAATTACCACTACTCAGCCTTCTACTCAATCTGTAACCTCATCCTTATCTTCACCTCTCAATTTTCAAGCCTATTAAATTCTGAATCCATATCTGTCTTCCTCCACTTCCCAACCTACTTACTCCTCAATCACTCAAAGTCCTACATCTAAAAATAAACAACCTCAAAGTCAAACTTACTCTTTTGTATTACAACAAAAATCAAACTCCTTACCTCCCAACTATTCTACCTCCCATTCTAAACAAAATCCTTCTTTCGATTGGATTTATAATTTTCCTATAACTGATACTATGAAACCAAATACTAGACTTCAAACCAGCTTTTCATTTAAACTTTTTACCTTTCTCAAAAGTCACCTCCATAACTTCTATCCTAGAAGTACCCTTGAAGCAGCAACACCTAACAATAGTCAACCTCTTAAAGCTAGCTT